TTTTAGAACAATACATTTCAATTGAGAGCATATATATATATTTAAAAAAGCATGGTTGTCTATCTAACAGGTAACAATAACCCAATCAGTACTGTCGTAACAATAATATTGATAATGTTTTTATTTTTTTTATTGGGTAGTTAATAATCAGTATGCCATATCCCATATTTCCTCTGTTTAGTTAATTTTAAATGTGTTAGAATATACACTTGTGAGTTATCTTACATCGTCTATATAGGGAAAATAGACCTAACTTATAAGCATAGTGGGCTACTCTTCCTACCATTTTAGGATGAAACCTCACTTGGGCTTCATTTGAGCTTCTCTCCTTTGGTGTGCTTCACGTTTGTGGGACGGCACCCGTCAACACCCATTTGTTCAAAATGTATGTGGATTTATTGTTGTTAATTAAGAATTGTTTTTATATAATTTTACACATACAAATATATAATACTCCATCATTTCATTAAATATGTATATATAGTTTGTCCAATAAACACGAACAGAAATACGAAATTAAAACAAATTATAAATGTGTACGGGATCATTAATGTTGTTACTAATCAAATTTGGCGTCCAAATCTTATTACTGGCGTGCAATTAATTATGGTGGGGTTTAAGTGCATTTGCAGCCACAAAAAGAGCATTAGGTACTTCTTTTTAGACTTTATTATTTTTTTTTTTTATCTAGATTTAGTTAAGATTTAGAAGGTTTTATATTTTGTACTCTACTAGCAATTTTTCATTATTTTCAGTATCTGCATTTGTCTACAGTTTTTGATAAATTAGAAACAGTAATATGTCACTCAATTTCAACCCACTTACCCCACAAACCAAATGTTTTCCCAAATTTTAGCATACATTGTGTCAAAGTCTAGGCCGACCCTAGTAAATCTTTTGTATTTATTAATTTCCATCTCTCTATTTTTTTCTGGTTTAAATATAACATTTTATGAATGAATTTTACCACTTTGATTTCTTCAAATAAATATTTGATACATGTTAAATGAGAAAAGATTAACTTTTCTCATTTTAATTTTATCACTGTGTCATAACCAAGTATATTTTGATAACCAAGTATATTTTGATAATTAATTCTCCCCATAAGTAGTAAAGAAATCGTCAGCTCTGAAATATTTTTTCCTACTTTATCGTATTAAAAATATTTTGATAACCAAGTATATTTTTATTTTTCTCGAAACGGTAAATTTATATTATATGTACGGAATAAACTTTTAGGATCAAACAGACACCATATTAAACGATATAGAGGATTAGAATTAAAGAATTCTCAATATTCTAATCAAATAATTGCGAAAACTCAATAGCATACCAGAGGAATAAAAAACCCATGAAAACCAAACATGTTTTAAGTTTTAACAACCATTTCTAGTGGGAAAAGTTCCACCAATGAGAGTGTTTTTATTTATTTATTTATTTATTTATTTAAATTCTAGTTTCCTGAGACTTGTCTTGAAAAGGTACCGTGTTTTAATTTTCACATGTTCCCTATAGATGTTGAGGAATTTTTTATTTCACATGAATCATGAGTGTCATAAACTAGCTCCAAACCCCCTCAATTATGAAATCCCTTTAACAGTTCTCCAAATTTTACACTAATCGTAGATCAACATACAGACAAATCTTAGGGTTAGACAAATATACTTTTTCAACGGATATTCGTACTTTCAAATATGAAATATATTTTAACATTATTTGTTAAAAATATGTATAACACAAATTGATCAATCTAAAGATTAACAGTTGAGACGACGCATATAACAAACAAACAAAATAGTTATTAAAAAAAAGGTGCTTGAAGCTACAATGGATTCTCATATATACCAAAATCTTAATTGTCAAATCAACGTACACCTACACAAGTGTATGCAAGTTGATTAGACGGTTTACCGGTGTGGACATATATATATATATATATAGGGCCAAATCCTCCGTTAAATATGCTGAATTAGAGTAATAAATCCGACGTAAGTGGAATTTTTATAAGGCAAATTATAATTGTTAATAAGCGATTATGAAAACAATTAATTCACTAATCTAGGGCTTAACAGATGGTCCCAAACTGGGTTGCGCTTTCTATTTTACTTATTAATGTGGTGACGCTCAATAAAGCTCGCTCAAAGTGCATTAATAGCCACTAAAGAGGACTGTTGTTGCTTTTTATTTGTTTAATTGTGATTAGTTCGGATTAATTAATAAAGAGTGTTTTCAATTTTGACGACTCTATTTTTAAGGTTTTAGTCTTTTTCTTTTTTAATTTCTCCCATACCTTTTGACTTTTGCCATTGTGCTTTATTTTGTTTCCATCTCTTTAATTTATTTTGTTGTGCCATGTTTACTTAATCAACTTAATGACAAAGGTATTAGAGAGAAAAGAAGAAAATTGGAAAAAAAAAAATAATAATAAGCAAAGGAGATTTACTCATAGCCCGCAGGGCCGCAGGCCCAATCGTTCCAACTTTCATAATGAAGTGGCTTAAGATAGAACGGTGAACCAAACGAGTCAGAATTCATGAGTTTGATCCTTAAGACCCAAAACTAGAGATTGTTATATAATCAGCTCTGACTTGATAAAAGCTCAAGAGCTCGAGTATTCGGCTGGGCTGCTTTATACTTTCTAGCCTAGAGTAAGGCTATACTCATATACTAAATCTGATCTCAAGGTGAAAAATTGGTTTTCTCTTAGCATGTCTAATAATTTGACAATTATATTTTTTCCAACAAATAATAAATATACATACTTTCAGATTCAAATATCATATTTTAAACTACAATATAAATGAAGTATGAATTTTCATGGTACAATTATTCATTTTTCGTATACATAATAGAACTGTCTAATTATTGGACAGATTAATTGCAGTATGATATTTTAGAATAAAGNGCTCATAGATTATTGCTGTTTCTTAAAACCATTATTTTTTGAGGTGTTTGTTTTTTCTTGTGCAGCAGCTTTTAAGTTTTAACCTTTTTTCTTCTTTTTGCAAAGGGTACCAATGGATGCCAAAGACCACAGTAACACGGGGAATCATTTTGTCCTCTGCATTAATTTTCACATAATATTTACCCATTGAGAAAATATTTCCATAATTGCACAAACTACCCCTGAAGTTTTGTGAGAATCTGCAGAAAATCCTGGCAAAGTTATAAAATAACCTAATAGCCCCTATGGGTTTGATCAAAGTTCGTCAATAGTTACCTCCTTAAAACTAAGACCATTCAAGTTTCTCGGAAATTCTGTAATTCCCAAATTTCTGTAGGGGTTTTTTGTGTAAATACTCAAATCTCAGGGCTAAATTTCTGTAATATCCCAAGAATTTTTTTGTTATAGACCTCCTGCATGCGGAGTTCCTTAAACAGTTTTGCATGAAAAGTAAAACATCTTCATACATATATATATATATAATCTTGGACTTGGCAATATTTAAGTTTCAGTATTTCACCCTATACTTTTAAGTAATCCATATTAAGAAAAAAAAAAATGGAGTCTTCACAACAATTTTTTCCACCACCTCCCCCTGAAATTCCTCCGAATGTTGTTCCGATCCGAATCCAACCAATTACGAGCGTGAAGCCGACGGTGGGCCCCACAATTGGCCCTCGACCGGGTTTTAATGGCAAACGAGTTCATATAATAACGAACCATTTCAAAGTTTCCATTTCGAGTTCTGTTGATGACTTCTTTCACTATGATGTTAGTCATCTTTTATGCCTTGTGAATATAGTTTTTTAATTTGCATTTCGATGCTTTCGACTAAAAATGGTTTCTTTTTTTTTCGATAATGCAGGTATTGATCTCGTACGAAGATGGCCTTGAAGTTACTAAGAAAAGTACTAAGATGTCCGTGATCGAGCAACTCTGCGAAACTTATAAGTCCGAACTCGATGGGAAAGCGTTCGTTTTTGATAGAACTCGAAGCTTGTTCACGCCTGGTCCCTTGCCGCAGAACAATTTAGAGTTTTCGGTCGTTCTGAATCATGTCTCGGCAAAAGGGTACAAATTTTATATAATATTTAGTTTAAATGTTATGATTTTCTTTTCTTTTCTTTTTTTCTTTTTCGTTAATTTGACGCTAAAAAAAATTTACGAGACTTGTTCATCTCTAGAACAAATGAGAATGATAGCAAGAGGCAGAGGCTCGTGTCTCGTTTGACAATGTTTAAAGTGCAAATGAAGTTCGTCTCAAGAATACCGATGAAGTCCCTTATTGAATCGAAATTCGGTGGATATGTTAGTGGCTTGAGAGTCTTGAATACCATTTTGCAGCAGCTAGCATCAAAACGGTATCGTATGAACAAAAAGTTACATTAAATTTAATGAATCGGGATACTTTGGATAGTGAAGATCATATAAATTTTACAAAATGCTTAGGGGATGCCTTGTTCTTCGCCAATCTTTCTTCGAAAACGGGACGAACAATTTCATAGACTTAGGTGGCGGTATTCTTGGTTGTCGAGGGTTGTTTTCGAGCTTTAGAGCTTTACAAGGTGGATTGTATTTGAAACATGGTAATGTGATGATAACTCTTTTCTTCTTCTTCCCTTCTAATTCATTTAACATTTCTCCATTTAAGGTTCATAGAGATGTAACTTTTTCCCGATTTTATGTTATTCGGTCTGTTTTAGATGTATCCATAACGACAGTCATACAGCCGGGCTCGGTGATTGACTTTCTTGTTAAACACCAAAATGTGAAAAACCCCGGCAAACTAAATTGGAATGAGGTAACAAATAAATGAATGCATAGTCCAAACTGTTTGGAGAATGAGTGTTTTAAGATTTAACCAAGGATTTTCCATTTTTTTTGTAATTAACACATCTATTAGGCTAGCCGAACTTTGAAGAGCTTGAGGATAAAGGTGAAACACTTGCCGAACGAGTTCAAAATCACAGGACTGAGCGGAAAACTATGTAAAGAACAGAAGTGAGTAACAATTCAATATACATTTCGATAACTAATAGATATAGTTATACTAATCTTTTATTTATTTAATTTACACATATGCTTAAATAGATTTACTCTCACGCTGGGAAAATCGAATGATGGTGTGGTTCGAACTATTGAGACTACAGTTTATGATTATTTTGTGTGTACGCGTGGCATTCAGCTGAGTTTTAGTGCAAAAATGCCCTGCATCAATACTGGGAAGCCTCATAAACCGACTTTCTTTCCGATTGAGGTGATTTTTACTATTGTCACTGTTATTAATTTAATTTATTTTTACTAAGTTGTTTCGAATCGCATAGCACATTGCTTAAATAATTCGTTTGGTTTTGTTATGCAGCTTTGTTTTCTGGTTCCTTTACAGCAGAACAAGAAAGAACTAACCGTTAATCAGAAATCGGCCATGATCACAAAATGCAGACAGAAGCCAGAGGACTTCATTAAGGTTTTGAGTGATGTGAGTTTATAATAAACTTTTCTACTTGATTTCTTTTAACACGAAAAGTTCACTAACATATGTCGATCATTGAAAAACCTTTTTTTTTTAAATAATTGTTAATATACATTTTCTTTGGGGGATAGGATGTAAAAAGACTTAAACTTGAAGATGATCCATTGTTGCAATCTTGTGGCATATCAATCAACAATTCCTTCGTTCAAGCTGAAGGCCGTGTTCTTACTGCCCCACGAGTACTAAACATATAATCTTTTATGTTTTTATTTTTTTTTTCTTTTTTGGATTACTTACTTTTTTTCTAACCTTTTTCGACAGTTCATGCATTTTGAATTATGTGTTGTTTTTTCAACAGTTGCGAATGGGAAATGCAGAGGTTATCACTCCTAGAAATGGCTGGTGGAACATCAAAGATAAGGTAAAAGTAAAACAGAACAGCTAATATGAATTTTAAGGTTCTTTCTTTGTTTTCAATACCCATTTTTTCATTGATGTAAGCTAAGTATGATACAGAAATTCTTGGAGCCAAAACGACTCGAAAACTGGGTCATAGTGAAATTCTCTTCTTCTTGCGACGTGAGGAAAATGTGTGGAGAGTTAGCCAGAATTAGCTCGGCTAAAGGAATGGTGCGACTTTCTTTCGTTTCGCAAAAAAACTCGATTTAAATTTTATGCTGCTTAACAAATGCCATTTATTTTTCAGGTTATAAATCCGCCTTTATGCGTTTTTGAAGAAAATCTGAGACATGCGAAGAAGTCACCTTCTGTACGTGTGGATATGATGTTCGACCAGATACATTCGAGACTTCCAAAAAGTCCACCTCAGTTTATTCTCTGCCTCCTTTCTGATAAGAAATTTTCAGACATATATGGTTTGAGCACTATTTGTTTATTTTATTCTCCTTTTTTTTTTTTTTGTATGCAAATGCATCAACTAATATCGATTTTCATTCGACGATAAAGGTCCATGGAAAAGGAAGACTATCGTCGAGTTTGGAATTCGTGACCAATGCGTTGCAAGTAGTAAAATCGACGAGCTTTATCTGATGAACATTCTCATGAAGATAAATGCAAAGGTGTTTGATTTTTTGTGTTTTGATTTACTACAAAATTCACTCCTATGGTTTAGTCGAACGATAAAATGAACGCCAAATATTGTCTACAGCTTGGAGGGTTCAATCATACCGTGAATTCTGAAATAACACGAAGCGTCCCTTTGGTTAGTAAGATCCCGACTATGATCCTCGGGATGGAAGTTTCTCATTCGTCTCCCGGGCGAATAAATTCGCCTTCAATTGCCTCCGTAAGGCCGACATTTGTCATTGTTAACATGAAACTAAACTACAAATTTGTTGTTTGTTAATTCTTGTTATTATTATATTTGTTTGCACTTTTTGTTAGGTTGTTGGCTCGAGAGAGTGGCCGAAAATTTCGAGCTATAGAGCAAGCATTCGTATGGTTCCAGCAAGAACTCATATGATAGATTCGCTTTTTAAGCCGATGTCTCAAAATGAAGATGCAGGCATAATAAGNCAATCTCCAAAAAAAAAAAAAACCAAAACATGCAAAACTAGATAGTTGTTCTATGAGTTGACATGTTTGTTATGATGCCTTTGTACTGTTATACATTTAAAGGGAGCTTCTGGTAGAATTCTATGCAACATCTGGGCAGATAAAACCAGCACAAATAGTAATATTCAGGTCAGAATATGCTTGCCTGCATTAGTTTTCTGCAAGAAATTAAAAAAAAAAATAAAAAATCATCGATTGGAAGTCGAATTCTCTTTCTCTTTAGGAATGGATTGAGCACATCACAGTTTGATCAAATGCTGGAAGTGGAAATGGGACAGATTTTCAAGGTCTCCATCTGCATCTGCATCTGCATCTTTGTCCGGTCATCGTACATTGAATTATTCGAACATCTATTTTTTTCAATTTTTTGAAAAATTCTTTTGGATGCATATTCGTAGGCCTGTGACTTTCTCGAGGAAAAATGGCGCCCCAAGTTCACAGTGATTGTCTCACAGAGACATCACCACACCAAATTCTTCGATGCTAATTCAAAAGCCAACATCTCTCCTGGTGAACAGATCTCGCAGAATTCAAACTCGGTATCTCAGGTAGAATCAGTTGAACGACACATTTCATTTCTGATAAACTCCATTTGCAGGAACTATTGTTGACAGCAAAGTTTGTGATCTCGACTGCAATAATTTCTACGTGTGTGCTCATGCCGCGAGAATAGTGAGTCCGTTTGCAAATTTATAATTTTTTTTCCTTTTAGTAGGATAAACCTCTTGAATAGTTTTCGAAATACTCACAACATTTCTTAAGTTTATTAAATGCTTCGATTTTCAGGGGACTTTGCGACCAACTCATTACCATGTCCTGTTAGATGAGATAGGTTTCTCATCAGATGATCTTCAGGAGTTCATTCATTCCTTATCATATGTGTAAGTGAACAAATTCCAATCCATTTGCAAATTCAGACAAAAAACTCGGCGAACTTTGTAATGAACATCTTTTTTACACCACGCAGTTTCCAGAGAAGCAACAACACGATTTCTGAAGGTAACAAGAATGCATGTTCAAATTCTCCAAATGTTTCGAATTTAAGGTTAATATTACTCTTCAGTCATTACGAACAAAAAGAACCTGTGTTTCTGCTTGATTCTTGCAGTTGCTCCTGTTAGATACGCACGATTAGCAGCAGCTAAGATATCACAGTTGATCGACTATGACAAGGTGCTGAGCACAGGGTATCAACTGCCAAAAGTGCACAAAAACATGTCGTCTTCAATGTTCTTCATCTGATGTGTTCTTGAAACTTAGACCACTCGAAAAGCTCATGTTTTGAAAGCTTGCTTTATATTTAGTAAACATTTCGACACTTTCCTTACTAAGAAACATCTAATTCTCTGTAGTATGATCTATTTTCCCACCTGTAATTGTCAATCTTTTCTACATATGAAAGCATTTGCATTACTGCCGAACTAAAACACCCCCAACTCATTTAAATCGTTAAAGCTAGATAGAGAAATAGAAAGAAAACTATTTCTTCCATTGGGGCATTGAACGAATGTTTTTACAAATACGTCGAGTAATTCGGGTCAAATTGTATTCATGAATCAAAACATTTGATGTTTTCCACAATGTGAAAGCACAAAGTCTTCAGCAACCAAGTACAAGCTAAATTTCCGACTAACCTTACGATTTTCAAATCACAGAAGCGTTGGAGATAAGGGAATCACGAGCCATTTTTGGATATGATGCTCACGTTAATAATCACAGAATTGAGCCGTGCTTTGCTATTGATCGATCATTCGGATATTCACTTTCCTGACCACCTCCAAAGATTCATCTTTTACTCCAAAAATTCAATTTCTAACTAAAAGGGCCTTCCTAGAATTGCATATACAAACAATGGAAAGTAATTACAGACACGAAAAAGGAAGCCATAATAATTTTTTTTTTTTTTTCCAGAAATTTCCATGTAAACAATTGTTAATAACTCACTCATTGATTAATCACGATCAGTTTCTAGCAGTCAAAATCACCTAAAATCAACTGAAAGCATAACACAAACAATTAAATTCCAGTCAGAAGTCAAAACTACAACAGAAGACACGCCTGTTACTCCGCCGTCGCCGGTCGAAACTTCCAGCTGCAGGCCAAAATCCCGCCTTCAACGTATATACACTTTGCCTTCGCCCTTACCGCCTTAATCTCCTTCGCTAAGCCGATGATCTTCGCCGGACCAGAAAAAACCCTCCCAAAAAAACTCTGATCCCTAATTTCACCCGCCTGGTTCCCAAACACGGCGATTAAATCCTCGCCCTCGCGGACAACCTGCTTGATCCGCTCCACCAGATCCTCGGTGGCCACGTCCTTGTCCTCGATTTTCTCGGCGTCACCCAGGAAAGCTCGTAGGAGACGGACGTCGTTCTCGAGGATCTCGGCCTGGGTTTTCGCGCCTCGGACCAAATCGGCGTTGTAGAGGACAAGGCGCTTCAGATTTTCCAAAAGGAACAGCACCGCGATCGACTTTTCCGGGACCTTGAGCTTGTCGGCCGGAGTGCGCGAGCGCGTGAAAAGGTACGCGCCGGTGAGGGCGAGGAATTTCACGGCGAAAAATAGCTGCTTTTTCATAGCTGCTTTATTATCCGACGAGAGTTTGACTGTTGGGAAGTAATGATAAATCTATATATATATTGAAAAAGAGAGGTCAATAAATTGGAAACTTTTAAAAAATTGGTCAACAACCCCAGACTTTCCATTTGTAGAAACTAATTTAAAAATCCTTTTAAAATATATGGTTTTTTTTTTCCTGTTTTTTAGGGATGGATATACCTTTAACGTAAGATATATACATGTGATTGCATATTTTGTTGTTGCATCCCAAAAATCATGGTATTTAAAATCTATCCAAATACAATCCATAATTATCTTATCACTTTTGTTAATAAAAATTGTATAAAAGGATATTCACTACCACCATTACAACTCATCATTCACGAGTTCAGAGAAAAAAAAAATACAGAGAATAATTTTTCATCCCATATACAATATAATGCTTCCAGACTGGGGTAAACTTAATATATAATGCTTCCAGACTGGGTACGTTAACAAAAGAAAAAAACCTGAGAGCAGTCCGCATTATTGAAACCCATCACGAACGGGAGAGCTATAACGCATTTTCATGATGAACAGGTAATATTTACCTTTTTTATTTCAATTTTATATAATTTAGAAAATTATTTTAATTAATATTTATAACAAACCTTTTTTGCGTCTGAGAGCAGTCCGCATTATTGAAACCATCACGAACAGGAGAGTTGTAACGCATTTTCATGATGAATAGGTAATATTTACCTTTGTTATTTCAATTTTATATAATTTAGAAAATTATTTTAATTAATATTTATAACAAAGCATTATTGAAACCATCACGAACAGGAGAGTTGTAACGCATTTTCATGATGAACAGGTAATATTTACCTTTGTTATTTTAATTTTATATAATTTAGAAAATTATTTTAATTAATATTTATAACAAACCTTTTTTGCGTCTGAGAGCAGTCCGCATTATTGAAACTCATCACGAGCAGGCTGGGGTACACTTGATATATAATGCTTCCAGACTGGGGTACGTTAACAAAAGAAACAAACCTTTTTTTCGTCTGAGAGCAGTCCGCATTATTGAAACCCACGGGAGAGCTATAACGCATTTTCATGATGAACAGGTAATATTTACCTTTGTTATTTCAATTTTATATAATTTAGAAAATTATTTTAATTAATATTTATAACAAACCTTTTTTGCGTCTGAGAGCAGTCCGCATTATTGAAACTCATCACGAGCAGGCTGGGGTACACTTGATATATAATGCTTCCAGACTGGGGTACGTTAACAAAAGAAACAAATCTTTTTTTCGTCTGAGAGCAGTATGCATTATTGAAACCCACGGGAGAGCTATAACGCATTTTCATGATGAACAGGTAATATTTACCTTTGTTATTTCAATTTTATATAATTTAGAAAATTATTTTAATTAATATTTATAACAAACCTTTTGAACAGGTAATATTTACCTTTGTTATTTCAATTTTATATAATTTAGAAAATTATTTTAACTAATATTTATAACAAACCTTTTTTGCGTCTGATAGCAGTCCGCATTATTGAAACCCATCACGAACGGGAGAGCAGTGGGCATTATTGAAACCCATGACGAACGGGAGAGCTGTAATGCATTTTCATGATGAACAGGTAATATTTACCTTTGTTATTTCAATTTTATATAATTTAGAAAATTATTTTAATTAATATTTATAAATTTGTATCGTAGGTGCTTTCATTAAATGCATAATACATTATCCGAATATGAGAGCAACAAACTTTATATAAACTGAGAGCAGTCTAATTTTTGTAAAATATGTAAACTTTAAACGTATTTTATATATAAAATTTTATATACTTTTAAACATGTTAGTTGGGCAAATTTTAAGGATATATATATATGTGTGTGCTAACTTTAAGTATATATATTTTTCTTATAAAATAGTCTAGACAAAATTGAGGTAATTTCACATTTTTCAATAATAATATAAAATATTTTAATACTTTCACATATGTTATATAATAGTCTGCGTATTCTTAATGTCTTTTGGTTGTAACACTGTTAACACATATAATATTAGATACTTTTAAACATATTTAGATATTTTTTTTACTCATTCTTTAATATCTATGTGCATAAAAACAGAATAAGATTTATAAAAAATTTTCCGGCAATATACTAAATGTTAGATAAAAATCTCATTTTATTTGTTATATAATATTTCGAGTTGCATTAGTTTTGATTTGTATGTGTAAAATTGATAAATTAAGCGTATGAAAAGGAACGCACGAATTACTGTAAAGATTTAAAAAATAAAAAATAAATCTAATTTTTGAATATTTTCTAAACGAATTTATGTCATAATTCGTCATAATTTTCCCACATCATGTCAATATTTATTTTATCTATACTAGGTAAAAGGTAAATCATTATCTCAATATTTATTCTATATATTCTAAGTAAATCTTCTCATCTATCTCAACGGTCCGCAGGTAGTATTTCATACTTTTCTATTCATAATCAAATATACCAAACCTTCACAATTTTACTTCACAAAGAAAGTGTTCAATAATTTATATTTTTTTTCCTTCTTTGCAATCCATTTATTTTTATTACATATATATAAATTATATTATTTTTAATATTTCACACGTTAAACATTTCAGGAAAATATACCATCCCGTGCATCGCACGGGTACTGTACTAGTTGATAATGCAACCCACTTGTGCTCGTGTGAATAATTCACCACCGCGAATACTTTATTGCTCGTACCTATAAACTATAAACAATGGATCTGTTGGCAAGATCGTAAACAAGACGAATTATACAAACGTAGAACTACAAAAATCCTTATTTTCCAGTGAAAACCAACTCATGAGTGGCTTATCTCCTTCAACAGCTCTACTCATTATTGTTCGATTTTCTAAGATATAGTCGTTTTATTTGGGCAAAGAAGATAAAATAAAGGAGTTTTAGGGAGTGACTCATCTCAGTCTAATAACTCTATTCATTATTGTTGGAAAACAAATATTTCTATTTTGTAAAACATACTCGTTTTATTTGGACAAAGAAGATAAAATAAGGGAATCTATATCTATACTACTCTAAAAGGACGAGTGTTTTTGTAAAAATATGAACTACCTAAAATAACCTTACTTTGACATATTTTTAATGACAAATTAGTAATACAGTAATACATATTTTAATTTATATTTTTAATGAAAAAAATGAATTACCTACAAAACCCCTACTTTAACATGTTTTTAATGGCAAATTAGTAATACACTAATACCTATCATATCTTATAATTTTAATTAATAACTAATGCTTAATTACTTAAATACAAATACATGAACAATACATTTCACATCTCCTAAAAATCAAACACAATATTCACGCACCATTATTTCTCACGAAATTGCTTTCTTCCACATATCTCTCAAAAATCAACCTAACATCAACCTAAACAATTAAATTTTGAAAAGATATAGAATTGTTGTTTTAAAAAAAAAAAAATCATTGTTTTTAGTATAATTTCATACATTATCTGACAAACTAGAAAAGTTGAACAATTCATTTAACTACTTCATCATTTAAGAAAAGTAAAATCTTATATTTAGAATTAGAATAGAAATTGCACTTTAGTCTTACTGGATGGAATTTTGATCCCACAAAAATCGTCATTTGTTTGTTTGTTTGTTTTTTCCAATTTTACTCACAAAGTGAATAAAATTAACGAATTTTCACTTGACCATTAAATGGTTAATATCAAGGTGAGTAATATTTTAATTATTAACACTTAAAATATATGAATTTTACATTCAATAATTAAGTAAAATATCATGAGATTTTAATTATTTTTATTTTATATGAGCCACTGATTTTAAAGATGTGTGCTAAATAAAAGAATGATTTGAAAGTAGAAAACATAATAAATCTGATGAATAACATTAAAAATATAATTAAGGTGTAAGGCTTGCTAATAAATATGAAAACAAATAATAAATAAAAATTTTATAATTAATAAAATTAAACATAAAACTTTTAAAACTTATATTTATCGATGTAAATGAATCGAATTGTTTATTTATTTTTATTTTTTTGTGCTTATTAGTTCTATGTGTAACTTTTAGGTGATAGATAATAGTTATTTGTAA